CTGGAGTAGCCATTCTAATATCAGAACATTTCATCCTAAAACAAAAGAATATACCTTTTTCTCAGCACCTCATGGTACCTTCTCCAAAATAGACCATATAATTGGTCACAAAACAGGCCTCTACAGATACAAAAAGATTGAAATTAATCCCTTGCATCTTATCAGATCACCACGGACTAAGACTGGTCTTTAATAATGACAAAACCAATGGAAAACCCACGTGTACATGGAAACTGAACAACTCTCTACTCAATGATGACTTGCTCAAGGAAGAAATAAAGAAAGACATTAAAGACTTTTTAGAATTCAATGAAAATGAGGACACATCATACCAAAACTTGTGGGACTCCATGAAGGCAGTGCTAAGAGGAAAACTCATAGCTCTAAATGCCTACAAAAAGAAACTGGAAAGAGCACACACTAACAACTTGACTGCACAACTAAAAGCTCTAGAACAAAAAGGAGCAAATACACCCAGGAAGGGTAGAAGGCAGGAAATAATCAAACTCAGGGCTGAAATCAACCAATTAGAAACAGAAAGAACAATACAAAATATCAACAAACCCAGGAGCTGGTTCTTTGAGAAAATCAACAAGATAGATAAACCATTAGCCAGATTAACCAGAGGGCACAGAGTCAGTATCCAAATTAATAAAATCAGAACTGAAAAGGGAGCCATAACAACAGAAACTGAAGAAATTAAAGAAATCATCAGATCCTACTACAAAGGCCTATACTCAACAAAACTGGAAAAGCTGGATGAAATGGACAACTTCCTAGACAGATACCAGGTACCAAAGTTAAATCAGGAGCAGATAAACCATCTAAACAGTCCCATAACCCCTAAGGAAATAGCAGCAGTCATTAAAAGTCTCCCCACTAAAAAAAGCCCAGGACCAGATGGTTTTAGTGCTGAATTCTCTCAGACCTTCAAGGAAGACCTAATACCAATTCTCTTCAAACTATTCCACAAAATAGAAACAGAAGGAACACTACCCAATTAGTTCTATGAAGCTACAATTACACTCATACCCAAACCCCACAAGGACCCGACAAAGAAAGAGAACTTCAGACCAATTTCCCTTATGAACATCAATGCAAAAATACTCAATAAAATTCTAGCAAACCAAATCAAAGAACACATCAAAACAATTATCCATCATGATCAAGTAGGTTTTATCCCAGGAATGCAGGGATGGTTCAATATTCAGAAATCCATCAATGTAATCCACTATATAAACAAACTCAAAGAAAAAAAAACATATGATCATCTCACTAGATGCTGAGAAAGCATTTGACAAAATTCAACATCCCTTCATGATAAAAGTCTTGGAAAGATCAGGAATTCAAGGCCCCTACCTAAACATAGTAAAAGCAATTTACAGCAAACCAGTAGCCAACATCAAACTAAATGGAGAGAAACTTGAAGCAATCCCACTAAGATCAGGGACTAGACAAGGCTGCCCACTCTCCCCCTACCTATTCAATATAGTACTGGAATTCCTAGCCAGAGCAATTAGACAACAAAAAGAAGTCAAAGGGATACAAATAGGAAAGGAAGAAGTCAAAATATCACTATTTGCAGATGATATGATAGTATACTTAAGTGACCCCCAAACTTCCACCAGAGAACTCCTAAACCTGATAAACAACTTCAGCAAAGTGGCTGGTTATAAAATCAACTCAAACAAATCAGTAGCCTTCCTCTACATGAAAGATAAACAGACTGAAAAAGAAATTAGGGAAATGACACCCTTCACAATAGTTGCAAATAATATAAAATACCTTGGTGTGAATCTAACCAAGCAAGTGAAAGACCTGTATGACAAGAACTTCAAGTCCCTGAAGAAAGAAATCGAAGAAGATCTCAGAAGATGGAAAGATCTCCCATGCTCATGGATTGGCAGGATTAATATAATAAAAATGGCCATCTTGCCAAAAGCAATTTACAGATTCAATGCAATTCCCATTAAAATCCCAACTCAATTCTTCACAGAGTTAGAAAAGGAAATTCTCAAATTCATATGGAATAACAAAAAACCCAGGATAGCGAAAACTATTCTCAACAATAAAAGAACTTCTGGAGGAATCACCATCCCTGACCTCAAGCTGTACTACAGAGCAATAGTAAAAACTACTTGGTATTGGCACAGAGACAGGCAGGAAGATCTATGGAATAGAATTGAAGACCCAGAAATGAACCCACACAACGATGGTCACTTGATCTTTGACAAGGAGCTAAAACTGTCCAGCGGAAAAAGGACAGCATTTTCAACAAATGGTGCTGGTTCAACTGGAGGACAACATGTAGAAGAATGAAAATTGATCCATTCTTATCTCCTTGTACAAAGCTCAAGTCTAAGTGGATAAAGGACCTCCACATAAAACCAGATACACTGAAACTAATAGAAGAGAAGGTGGGGAAGAGCCTCGAATACTTGGGCACAGGGGAAAAGTTCCTGAACAGAACACCAATGGCATATGCTCTAAGATCAAGAATTGACAAATGGGACTTCATAAAATTGCAATGTTTCTGTAAGACAAAGGACACTGTCAATAGGACAAAACAACAACCAACAAATTGGGAAAAGATCTTTACCATTCCTACATCTGATAGGGGGATAATATCCAATATGTACAAAGAACTCAAGAAATTAGACTCCAGACAACCAAATAACCCTATTAAAAAATGGGGTATAGAGCTTAACAAAGAATTTTCAACTGAGGAAACTCGAATGGCCGAGAAGCACCTAAAGAAATGTTCAGTATCCTTAGTAGTCAGGGAAATGCAAATCAAAACAATCCTGAGATTCCATCTCACACCAGTCAGAATGGCTAAGATTACAACCTCAGGTGATAGTAGATGCTGGCGAGGGTGTGGAGAAAGAGGAACAGTTCTCCATTGTTGGTGGGACTGCAAGATGGTGCAACCACTTTGTAAATCAGTGTGGTGGTTCCTCAGAAAATTGGACATAGCATTACCTGAGGATCCAGCTATACCACTCCTAGGCATATACCCAGAAGATGCTTTACTATGTTGATAGCAGCCTTATTTATAATAGCCAGGAGCTGGAAAGAACCCAGATGTCCTTCAACTGAGGAATGGATTCAAAAATTGTGGTATATTTACACAATGGAGTATTACTCAGCTATTAAAAACAATGAATTCGAGAGGTTCCTAGGTAAATGGATGGAACTAGAAATTATCATCCTGAGTGAGGTAAGCCAATCACAAAAGGACACACATGGTATTCACTCACTGATTATTGGATATTAGCCCAGAACCTTGAAATGCCCAAGATGCAACTCACAGGCCACATGAAGCTCATAAAGAAGGAAGACCAAGTGGGGGTGATTCGGTCCTTCTTAGAAGGAGCAACAAAATACTCAAGGGAGCAAATATGGAGACAAAGTGAGGGACAGAAACTGAAGGAGGGGCCATCTGAAGACCATCCCACCTGAGTATCCATCCCATGTGCAGTCACCAAAGGTAGATGCTGATGTGGAAATCAGGAAGTGCATGCTGATAAGAGCCTAAACTGCCAGCCTGGGAGCACTTAGGGAGGGATCCATGGCTTCAGCTGAATATGTAAGAGTGGTGGGCCCTGCTGGGCATAGGTGGAAGAAGAGATCCTTGACCTCATGAAGGCTGGACGGCCCAGGGGGTTGGAATTTTGAGTGTGGGAAGGTGCGATTCGGGGGGTAGGTAGGGGTTACACCCACAGAGAAGAAGGAGGAGGGGTGAGGAGATAGGGGGTTCCTGGGTCGGTGGGGGATGGGGTAAGTGGACAACATAAGAAATGTAAATAAAACATCCAATAAAAAATTTATTCTCTGCCATGGTGAATCTCAGTGACCCTGGATTCATCACCCGAAACATCCAGGGTGATGGAATCCTTGGTGTTAGTTTTTACACACAGTGATCACTCAAAGAGTCATTCACTTGGACTCTTTAGGAAAGTTTTGCCATCCCCTGAGCCTTGTGTAGGTAAGCTGTAGCCAGTCCTGTGGGGCTGAAGCATTAGGAGTCCTAGACACGCCATGCCTAGGTCATGGATACACATTTCTCTCTCTGTGCCTTCTCCACTCTCTACCCTTAGCTGTGTGTGTCCTTGGCTTTGGTCTCCAGGGCTGTAAACAAAACATGAAACCAGAAGCCAGTGTAGCCTGGTAGAGGTATAGAAATAGGTACAACCAAACAGTTGCCACATTCATTTCCTGCTCTGCATTCTCCCTATTTTGTAGTGGTTTCTTTGGGGTTAATACCTTTCATCTTGTAGGGAATCTCATTAAGATGTTCTAAAGGGAGGTAAACTATACCACACTGTAGGGAAGACCCTTTAATTCAGGAAATAATCAACTCAGTGATTGAGACAGTCACTGAAACTGACCAGCTACACTAGACCCATTATTCCCCAAGCATATATAATAGTAAGGATGCTGAGAGACACTCAGACCAGACTGGCTCCAGCTGCCTGGCAGAGACTGTCCAACCTGCCCAATGGCCTGCAAGTTGTGCAGCATGCCCCAGGTTGTCAGCTTTCTTGAGCCATTGCCCATGCTGGCATGGGGTTTGGGGACATGGCTGCCTTTGAGTCATTGCTGCTTCTGGAAGTCATCCTAATAAAAAAACTCTGGTTTACCAAGTCGGATTTTCATGGTATCCATACATCCATACTTTGGTCTGTCATTGGTGCCCAATCTGGGCATGTGTAGTTAGCATCTGCTCAGGAATAGTGTTGCTGTTACCCTAAGATTTTCTTTCAGCTTTGTGGGGACCCATTAAGTAAACACAGTTCTTTATGAATGCTTTCACTTTTATTCCTCCATATACCAGTGATACAAACGTGTTACATTTACCATTGTTTAGTGACATGCGTGAGTTTTATACATAGAAGCATAAGGACATTTAGCCCAGATACCAATAGATCAGAGAGGGTGCCCAGAGAGCCTTCCCCCACATCTTCAAGGCCCCCTAACTCTTTTGGAGGGTAATGGCCTCAAAAAATGAAATGAGGGAAAGAAGGACCCTTTTTCTTAGGATCCACTTGGTCACTGGTAATGCTCAGTTGTGGATGACTCTCCTTCATTTCTTGGATCAGCTTCTGGATACTGGGGTTAGTGTCATCAAATTTCAACCTAGGTTGCAACAAGAGGAGAAAAATGGTTTATTTTGTTTCAAGAAAATCCATTTAAACTTCCCACATGCCTTAAATGTCTCATGGATCACTTTAGTACTACACTGCAAGGTGGAATTGCATAGCGATATTTTAAATCTTATTTTGATATATATATATTAGGTATATGTTGGTGGACTACACTCCTGTGTCTGTATACAGAAGCTAGAGGTTGCCACAGGGATGTTGCTCAACTGATTCTTTACCATAATGCTCATTCTCAACTTAATTTTTTTATATTAGTGTTTTGCCTGCATGTATGTATATGCACCCCATTCATGCCTGCTCCCTGGTTCCTGTGAGATCTTAGAAGAGGGCACTGGATCCCTGGAGCTGGAGTTACAGATGGTTGTGAGCCACTTTACATGTGCTGTAGACAAACCTGGACCCTCTGCAAGAGCAGCAAGTGCTTTTAACCACTGAGCCATCTGCTGATTCCCAACCATCAACACCCTGGAACTTACCATTTCGATTGAACTGGCTAGCTAGTAAGCTGTCGAAATCTTTCCAGCTCTGTCTCTAAGTACTGGAATTATAGACCTATATGGACATGCCTAGCTTTTATGTGGGTACTGACGACCAGAACTAAGGTCTTCATGTTAGCCCAGCAAGATTTTACTCACTAACTCCCAGCCCCAGCTTATTGGAGCTCATGTAGCCTATGCTAGCCCCAAATTCATTATATAGCTATTGATGGTCTTGAATCTTTGATCTTTTCCACCTCAACCTTCTTTATTTATTCACTTTGCACCCTGATATTTGTCCCACCTCTCCCAGTTCCTTCTCGAGAATCTCCTCCCCCATATCCCTTCTCCTCCTCTGAGGGCAGAGAGGCCCTCCCTGGGTATCATCTCCTGCTGGTACATCAAGTCACACAGGACTAGGCACATCCTCTCTCACTGAGGCCAGATAAGGGAGCCCAGTTAGGGGAACAGGATCCATAGACCGGCAACAGAGTCAGGGACAGCCCACGCTCCAGTTGTGGGAAACCTGTGTGAGGACAAAGCTGCACATCTGCTACATTTGTGCAGGGGCCTACGTCCAGCCCATATTTGCTCCCTGGTTCTACCACCACCTTTCAAGTTTACCATCACAGCCAGTTTTATGCAGTTCTAGGGATCAGACTCAAGGTACACACTAGGCAACTACACTATCAACTGAACCAAACACTCAGCACTGCATATTGATTTAATAGGGAAAAAAAAGATATCTGTAGTTATACAGAGACACTGCAGAGCCATGGATCCTTCAGTCATGTTTTAAATCAGGGTCTGTGAAACTGGGGCTCATTGATTGGCTAGATTGTTCTATATCAATTTTTGGAGGATCTGCCTAATTTCTGCCTCCCCAAAGCTGGGATTACAAACTTATAGCTTCATACACTTATGTGTGTTCTGGGGTTCTCATGTATGAGCAACAGGCACTATATTAAATAATCTATCTCCCCAGACACATTTTTATTTGTGCGATTTTGAGAGACCATCTCATGCTATAGTCTAGGAATGCTTGAGACTCATCATGTAAGCCCATGTATGGCAATCTTATCTCAACTTCCCAAGGTCCAGAAAACAGACCTGAGCCATCACACCAGGTTCCCACTTTTTTTGAGACAACATGTTTGACTTGCAGTTTGTTTACCTTAACAGACAAGTGTAACAATTGTGGCTTCTTGGTCTCCCATGCATTAACTCTATGACTCTGTTTACCCACCAGTGCAACAGAAGGATTAAAGAAAAGGTTAATATTGTTTGGTGACCACTGGATGTGGTGATATAAAACTTTAATCCCAGCATTCAGTAGGCAGATGTAGGCAGAATTTTGAGTTTTGAGGTTAGCTTAGTCTACAAAGTGAGATCCAGGGCTATACAGAGAAACCCTGTCTTGAAAAATTAAAATATTATTTGCTAACTAAATGCCTATGGATGGAAGCTGATTGCTAGTGACAGATGTCAACAGTGAACCATTCTGGAGCATTGCTTGTCTCACCACTACCAAGACCTCCATGTGTGAAACAGTATGAAATCAGAAACAGTGGGATCACACCTGAGTGTTTGGAGGGGGCAAATTTTAAGTTTCAAGGCTTCACAGAACGTCTTTACTGCGTCAGTTCCCATGGTGTTCTGAGACAGATCTAGAGTGTTCAGGCTCTTGTTGCTTCTGAGAGTCTCAGAGAAGTCTTGGCAGTTTGATGGAGAGATGAAGCATCCACAGAGCCTTGTAGACAAAACACAAAACTTAACTCATTAAGTCTTATCCAGTACAGGATCCTGTATACTCTTAATACTCACCTTCTAGGCAAGTTGTGCTTGCTTGTACAATAGGGGCAGGACAGTTATGGGGGTTACCAACAAGTCTCTGCTTGGATTGGAGTTGTTAGAAAGGAGGCTACATGGTAACTGTAAACAGGGTTGAAAATTTCCTAGCGGAGAACTGGATGTCATTTCACTAGATGGTCACATACTGTCAAACTGAGAAATATTTATAACTACAATCTGTGTTGTTTTCAAGTTTAGTCAGAGAAGCTTCTTTTTACAGTTAAGTGTGCTTAATGAAGAATTTTATAACTGACCACAATGAATAAATGAAGTGCTCAGCCATAAAGGGTCATCATCATCAACCTCTCTCCTCTCAAGGCTCAGGAAGACATCTTGTTAGAGGGGGTGAATAGACTAAGAGCTGGAGCACGGAGAGAAGCCATGTGAAACACTATCATATGGACATGGCATGACTGTTGCACACATGACTCATAGCAACTGTAGTTGCCTGTATGAGACCTGTATAGATAAAACCAGCCAAAATTTCAGCGTAGGGGCTCTGGAGGTTCTTCTCCTTACTGGGGATCTATTGTTAGTTGACAGAGGGAGAGTCGATTTGGGAGATGAAGACGTGGCAGGTTGCCCATGTCCCTACACCTATGTGCATATGATCAGTATTACCTGGAGTAAGTGGACTGATTGATACTAATAATGACAACAATAAAGAACATGAAGCTGGGAGGAAGATGGATTAGGCACTCCCAGGAAAGACTTGGGGGTAGTGGAGGAATGGATCAAAATGCATGGTATACATATATGAGAATCTCATAAAATGAAAAGTTACAAATTTAAGTAGCAGTTGATTAATTCAAATAGCCAATGCTATGGGTATCATCCTGTATGACAGGCACATGGGTGTAAGGACTTAAGAACAAGCAACAGAAGTTTCTTCTTTCAGGAAAAACAAAACTAGCAACATTCCCATCCTCTAGAGAGCTGTCACCATTGATACCACCACTCTGCTGCCAGCACAGTTGCCCCACCAATCACCATGGCTGCTGGCTCCTTTCCTATTATTCTGAGGATGACAAGTCAATGTTCTCACCAGCATAAATTGTAACCATGATGGAGTGAGTACATTCTAAGTATATCTAAGGATGTAGCGATATTTTCTCTACCTCCTGGGGATTTCTTGGTTTCTGGGGAAGGGATATACATTTTCTTCAGTAATGTAGCCATGAATAAGGTGTTCATACTCTCGCATGTAATTCCTTACCTATGGCCAACCCTGGTTAAACTCACTGGGAAACACACACACACACACACAGACACACACACAGACACACACACAGACACACACACAGACAGACAGACAGACAGACAGACAGACACACACACACACACACACACACACCATGAAAATGGAAGGCAGACTAGTTGGAAAGGGGGAGGGGATCCAAGAGAGGGTAACACAGGAGGGCAAAGTGATGTAAATATGGTCAAAATGCATCATACATGTGTATGGAAGTTTCACAATGACTCCTTTATAATACATGATTAATACATACTAGCAAACACTCAAATTAAAAATACTGATGCCTGACTGCAACAGTATTGGTGTTAGCCACACTACGGAGTCAGCCAGGCCTGGTGTAACTCTGACACTTGGTAGGCTGAGGGAAGAGAATAGTGAGCTCAAGGCCCTCATGTAGACATCCACTAAAACATCGTATCTTATGCAAACGTGTAAGTCTGGCAGTGGACCCTCAATCTTCCTGACCCATCCTTCTGAGTGATGGGATTTTAGTCATGTACTATCTCCCCCAGTTTAAGACTCTTTCTTGTCCCCTCCCCACAAAGATACTGGTATCTGGATTGCACTCCAGGGATTCTATTTTGATTATCCTTTGGTATTACCTGGGTGCTGAAATTTTAAAAGCTAATTACAAAATAGAAAAATAGATACAGAATACTGCAAATACACCATACTAACATGTGTTACAAACACAAGATAACATGTTTTATTTTAAAATATTTAATTGACAAGTTAGGTTACATAGTGATACCCACCTGTAAACCTAGCTCTCAGGAAACTGGACTAGAAGATTGCAAAGTTTGGGGTACCCTGGACTATGTAGTAAAACCTGTTTCAAAATATTTGATGAAGTTTATATGCAGGGTATACAACATGATGATTTGATGCCTTTTGTGCATCAATGGCCACAAAAAATAATTTGGTTACCACCATACAGTGTTAGAGCTCCAAAATTTGTTGTTTTTATTATATTGTATATTCTACCTATCTATCTACCTATCTATCTACCTACCTACCTATCATCTATCTACCTACCTATCATCTATCTACCTACCTACCTACCTA